GGTCTTGTCACACTCAGTGGCATCCGTTATGATAAAGCCAATGGGCGTTTACACTCATCTGCCCATTTCTGTCAAGACCCTATGGCTGAGGTCAGAACGATGTCCTGGGAGAACCAGTTACCTCTAACCTTCCAGTTCAGACACTGCCAGCTTAACTATGTGGAAACTGGCTCACAGACCCTGCTAAGTGCTGCAGCATGACAGCGTTTCTATGAATTTGTTGGTACATGTGGGACTTTAGCTCATCTGAGGAGTCGAACAGCAGCTGTGAAAGTCTTCTACTCCCTGTCGAGGCTGGCCTGGTTTGCTACACAAACACGGCGGCCCTAGGACCATGGGGCTATTTCTGCAGATGCCCTCTGGAACCAGCTGCTCTGAACATGGTGGGGGTGTTGGAGCAGCAGTTTCTCCAAAGTCCACACATAGTTAAGGCTCTGAAAACAGCGCGACGCACAGAAATGATTTCAGATGGTTTTCGGTAGCCACTTTCATGCCAACTCTTTATTTCCATACTAGAAAATCTTTTATTTCCACCTTGTGTTCCCTGCTAGCACAGATGACCATAAAACCCAGGTCAGAAACGTTCTAGTGTGCCGTGAACAGTCCGAGAGGCACTTTTCTGCTGCTGTGGAAGTCGCCCTGACTCGGGGAGGAAGGGACACACAGTAAATGGGCTGCTTTCCAAACACTGTGACTTGGCTACTGAGTGGGGATACCTGGTTTCATTGGCAATCTTCCAGTATCTCTCTCGCAAAAGGAACGCTGCACCTTTTGGTTGTCTCTGCCTAGTGAAGACCCCCTTTTTATTCCCCAGCACTCTCAGCGGTGCTAAAAAAAAAAAAAAAAAAAGACACAAAGCGATTCAGATGACTTCTGATGGGTCAAGTTAGAACCACACTGGACCACAGTGAACACCAGAGGCGGATCCTGGGATTCAAGGCAAGAGAATGTAAGGGTCAGAACTGGCAGAATTGTAAAGTTAGATAAAAATAAAGATCCACTTGATGGTGACCAAAATATCTGTCCTCGCAGGGGGCTATAGTGACTGCAGGACTCACTGATGCTGGGGTAAAGACAGCCAGGGAATGATGTGACCCAGAATAAAAAAGGAGGTTTTAAAAAAAACCTTAATGAGCAACTGCTTTATTTGTAAACGTAATTTGATACTCGCTTTACATTACTTTTCCACCTCTATCCGCTGGTACAGTCTTAAGGCTGAACTACACTATAAGTAAAAATACGTCTTTGGGCCAGTTGCAGTGGTTCATACCTGTCATCCCAGCACTTTGGGAAGCTGAGGTGGGCGGACTGCTTGAGCCCAGGAGTTCAAGACCAGCCTGGGTAACACATCAAGACCCCTTCTCTACAAAAAGTACAAAAATTAGCAAGCCTGGTGGCACACATCTGTGTTCCCAGCTACTTGGGAGGCTGAGGTGGGAGGACTGCTTGAGCCCCAGAGGTCGAAGCTGCAGTGAGCTGTGTTTACACCACTGCATTCCAGCCTGGGTGACAGAGCGAGACCCTGTCATGAATGAATGAATGAATGAATGAATGAATGATGAAATTAAACTAAACCAGGCTGGTTTAGTTTCAAAAATAAATAAATAAAATAATAAATAAATAAATAATTCAGAGCTGGGGTTGGGCACGGTGGCTTATGCCTGTAATCTCAGCAGGAGTTCAAGGCCAGCCTGACCAACATGGTGAAACCTCATCCCTACTAAAAATACAAAATTCGATAGGTGTGGTGGCGCACGCCTGTAATCCCAGCTATTTGAGAGGCTGAGGCAGGAGAACTGCTTGAACCTGGGAGGCGGAGGCAGCACTGAGCCAAGATCATACCACTGAACTCCAACCTGGGTGACAAGAGTGAAACTCTGTCTCAAAGATAAAAGAATTCAGAGTTGGTTACCTTTTCAAAGAGGATCAGCAAGCGAGCATATCCACGAGCCATTGCCCCCTACTTGACTATAGTTTGCAGAAGTGGCATTCTGTAAGCACGATAAATTTAAGGGAGAAAACAGAACAGCACAGTCCACTGTGGGTGGCTATTCCCTGTGTGTCAATGGGAGTTCCAGGAGCTGTGACAAACGAGTGTGAGCTGGCTGGAGAGGGTACGAGGGGCTGGGTGGGGTTCAGCAATTCACATGAAAAAAAAAAAAAAACAACCACAAGACAAAGCAACATAACTTTGTTGAGGAGGGCAAAAAAATGAGATGGATAAAAAAATGAGAAAAGGCCAGGCATGGTGGCTCACGCCTGTAATCCCAGGATTTTGGGAGGCTGAAGCAGGCAGATCACTCGAGGTGAGGAGTTTGAAACCAGCCTGGCCAACATGGCGAAACCCCGCCTCTACAAAAATACAAAATTAGCTGGGCACAATGGTGGGCGCCTGTAATCCCAGCTACTTGGGAGGCTGAGGCAAAAGAACTGCTTGAGCCCAAGAGGTGAAGGTTGCAGTGAGCTGAGATCATGCCATTGCACTCCAGCCTGGGGGACAGAGTGAGACACCATCTCAAAAAAAGCAAAACAAAAGGACAAAGTGAGTGATTAAACATGGCTGTAAGATCTCACCCATGCCCTGAGTAGGTATTATTTAGCGCATGCTGTGTTAGATATTGCAGAGTACATGGGAAGCAACAATAAATAGGGCTCCTTCTCTCTCCTGATCCCACAGTCTGATCAAAGATCAAGCCAAAGAAATAATGACAGTGCCAGGTGAGAACGCTGGCAGAGCCAGGTTCGGGCTGCAACTGACTAAAACTAAAAAATTAAAACACACCAAATTATCTTGTTTGGTCGTCTCTTAGAAATGGGTGAATTCCTTTTTGAGATTAAGACTTATTGTTTCCCAGATTTGACCTATTATCTTAGTAAACAAAACAGGGACTAAAAGAGGCAGGAGTTAATACACAGAAATACAAGGTACAATCCCTCTGCCCTGAAAGCACTTAACCCAGCTGGAGAAAGAAGGCAAATACATGCAAATCTTCACAACAAAAGATCTGAGTGACAGATATAGTGATCATCTGCCTCAAAGAAAGACACAGCTCATTGCTGAAAGGGGGGCTGAATCGTGCGGACGCTGAAAGACTACAGAACTTCGAGGAGATCAAACAACTGCAATGACCACCCCCGTGCAGGTGACAACTTCTATATTTCTCTCTCAATTTGACTCTGGGGCTGCAGATCCATCTTTCCAATCAGCTCAGTAAGTATTTATTGCATTAAAGACCTTCCGGAGTGAAAACATGAAGAAGCCACGACTCCTGCAGCCATGTGTTGGGGGAAGCAGAACAACTACCCACTCTCCCTAAGCCTCAGTTTCCTCGTCTGTGAAATAGGAACGATAACAGTACTTACTATCTTATGAGAGGATGAAGAGGGATGAAAATCTTCCCAGAGGCCACCGCTACCATTTATTGCTTGTTTTCCATGTGGAAGTACATTGAATCCTCAGATTTCACTGACACTGAGATAGTAATTAACTTGTCCACAGTTGCAAAGCTAGTAAATGGCAGAAAAGCTCCTGTTCTTGGCCATCTGCTTCTAGTGTATATGTGATAACGGATGGAAAGCGTCATAATGCAATCTGTCCCACAATAATTTCTCCATAAATGGCAGTCATTGTTAGGGCAGCTCTAGTCAAGTTCTACTTCTTGTAATCCCCCAAACATTTACTGTAGACTCAAGAAGGGAGACTCCACAGAGATGACGCTTGCACTCGACCCTGATGACTTTTCAACTCAAAAGGGGATGTGAGGGGCCGGGCGCGGTGGCTCATGCCTGTAATCCCAGCACTTTGGGAGGCCGAGGCGGGTGGATCATGTGGTCAGGAGATCGAGACCATCCTGGCTAACACGGTGAAACTGTCTCTCCACTAAAAATACAAAAAATTGGCCGGGCATCGTGGCGGGCGCCTGTAGTCCCAGCTACTCGGGAGGCTGAGGCAGGAGAATGGCATGAACCTGGGAGGTGGAGCTTGCAGTGAGCCAAGATCTCGCCACTGCACTCCAGCCTGGGAGACAGCGAGACTCCATCTCAAAAAAAAAAAAAAAGGGGGGGGGGGATGGGAGGGACAGGGACAGATAGCCAGGGCAGGAACAACACAAGGACATGCCCACAGGAAAGAAACCTCCCAGAGTTTTAGGAAACAGCTAGAGAGGGGTGGGACACGGGGTGAAAGAATCATCTGGGAAAAGATCAAAAAGGCTCTGACTTATCAAGATGCTGGGTGTGATTTGGTCAATACAGGAGAGCAACCAAGGAAGAGGGGCATGCTCTGGCTGGTGCTGGCAGCGATTCTGGAAGACCCACAAAAAATGGAGGCAGACAGTGAGAAACACACTGTAACACTCCTGGGTGAGCGAGAATGCAAGAATGAGGTTATAAAGTTGGCCAGCAGCAACAGGCATGCCAGTAAGCGTCTAAAGATGTGAAATTCTTCCTGTCACCCTCAGGTAAAGTTAACAGGACCTGCGTAGATTGTGTGCGGGGAGGAGGAGTGAAGGAACAGATAGAGTCAAGGTTAGGGTGTTTACAAAAAAAATATTATTTCAAATGAAATTTGAGTTTGTAGTACCTTTATAACTCTGAAGAGGTTTCTGTCAAAAAGTGTGTCTAGTTTGAGGTCTAATTTGGTCTAGAACTAAAAGAAAAAAACTAGCACTAGCTTTATTTGCAAGGAGTTACATGAAACCATGGAGTGGATATTATGCTCCAGAGACCAACTGTGGACCGAGTGAACCAGGACAAAACACCATAAAGCGCCTCCATTTAAGGGGCCAGAAGTCAGACGCGGTGGCTCACATCTGTAATCCCAATACTTTGGGAGGCTAAAGTAGGAGGATCAGTTGAGGCTACGAGTTCAAAAAAAGCCTGGACTACAAACTGAGACTCTGTCTCTACAAAAAATAAAAATAAAACAATTAGCCAAGCATGGTGGCACACACCTGTAGTCCTCCCAGCCACTCGGGAGGCTGAGGCAGGATTGCTCGAGCCCAGGAGTCTGAGGCTGCAGTGAGCTATGATCACACCACTGCACTCCAGCCTGGGCGACAGAGACAGAAAAATAGGTTGACAGTGTCAATGTAGAAGTCATTGGATTTGCTAACCAAGAAGTCATTGGTGGCCTGTGCAGTGGAATGACAGTGGAAAGTTCAGCAGAATGACAACTGGTCTCAGGGGACTGAGGAATGATTGTGGAGCAAACAGCCTCTTGATAACACAGAAGTAAAAAAGCAACTGCTGCCTGAGGAGGGAGGGTCCGGAGGGAGACTGGAGAATGGCCACCGGCTGGGAAGACAAACACGTGGAGAGGCTGAAACTCCAGGAGGGAAACGGAAAGACCCTCAGAAACTGCTGCCCAAACCTCCAGCAAGACTGAGACAGTTCCATCGTGACCACGGTGAGGGGAAAACAGCAGTCAGTCAGAAATGACTGGAAGGGAGATGAGTTCATTCCGGGTAGTTTTCTCAGTTCCCATCTGAGAGGTCTCCACGTGAAGAGGGAGAAGAGGGACTGCAAGGACTAAAAGCTGCAGGGGATCTGTAACGAGACGACCAGAAGTAAGATCAGCAACGACATTCACAACCGCTCCCTGAAGAACCCCAACTCAAGGTCGAACCACCAAGCAAGTTCCCTGTCCTACATCCAAGGAGCTGAGCACTGCTGTGGTCACAGCAGGCCCCCACACACTGCACACTCCAGTCTGGGGTATTGGGGCAGTTAAGAGGGTCAGGCTACAAACATTCCCCACTGGCTTCAGAACCAAGCCTTTTTTTTTCTTTTCTTTTTTGTTGAAATAGAGTCTTGCTCTGTCTCCCAGGCTGGAATGCAGTGGTGTGATCTTGGCTCACTACAACCTCCGCCTCCCAGGTTCAAGGGATTCTCCTGCCTCAGCCTCCTGAGTAGCTGTGATTAGAGAAGCGCACCACCACGCCCAGCTAATTTTTTTTTTTTTTTCAATAGAGACAGGGTTTCACCGTGTTGGTCAGGATAGTCTCTATCCCCTGACCTTGTGATCTGCCACCATGGCCTCCCAAAGTGTTGGGATTATAGGCATGAGCCACTGCACCTGGCCTAACCAAGCCTCTTTCATTGTGTCTACTTTCTCCCCTTGCTTCTCAACTCCCCACACCCTAGCTCTTGCCCCAGTGATCACCAAAACTGTTCTTGCTTCAAGGGCCTGGTGTCCTCCACACATAGTGGCTGCTCCTCGGTCCCACTCCATCCTGTTGGTGACATGTGACACTGTTGATCATTCCCTCCTTGAAACTGCCTGCCCTCAGGGCTTCCATGACACCTTCTTTCTCAATTCTTTTCTGATCCTTCCAATTCTCCCTTCTTCATCTCCTTCTGGATTTTCTCTTCTCCCACAAGGCTCTGGCACGCTCATGGTGCTGACTTTCATCCTCTGACCCTCCTACTCACGTCTTCACCCAGGCCTCACAATCTCAGCCACCACTACAGGCTGTAACCAAGAAGTCCGTGCTTTCTGGAGACAGAGAGAGGAGAAGGACCAGAGAGTAGCAGATCAGAGGCGGGGACGGGCAGTGGGGTGGGAGAGGTGGGGGGAAGTTTGCATGGTTAATGGGTATGAAAAAATAGAAAGAATGAATAAGATCTAGTATTTGATAGCCCAACAGGGTGACTATGGTCAACAATAATTTAATTATACATTTAAAAACCACTACAAGAGTATAAATGGATGTTTATCAGAAAAGGATAAATGCTTGAGGTGATGGCTACCCCATTTACCCTACTGTGATTATTGCACGTTGTATGCCTATTGAAATATCCCATATACCGGCTGGGCGCAGCGGCTCACACCTGTAATCCCAGCACTTTGGGAGGCTGAGGCGGGAGACTCACGAGGTCAGGAGTTCAAGACCAGCCTGGCCAACATAGTGAAAACCCATCTCTACTAAAAATACAAAAAATTAGCTGGGCACGGTGGCCAGCACCTGTAATCCTAGCTATTCGGGAGGCTGAGGCAGGAGAGTCGTTTGAACTTGGAAAGCAGAGGTTGCAGTGAGCCAAGATCATGCCACTGCATCCAGCCTGGGTGAGCGTGAGAATCCGTCTCAAAAAATAAAAAAAGAAAAAAAAAAGATACTCCTCCCCTCCTCACCATTTCTACAGCCCACTCCAACCTCTTGGTTAGAGGACAATGACCTTCATTTTCAGTGGGCTGCCACCTTTTCAATCTGTCTACACTCATACAAATAAAGTCTCTTTTACAAGATAGAAACATGGTCATCTCATTATCCTGCTTGTAATCCTCCCACTGTCCTCACAGGTTGTGGTCTGAACTTGAATTTTCTTAGTTCAGCCCCCAGAACCCTCTGAAATCTGGTCATTGTCAGTCTCTACAGTTTTGTATGGCCCTACTTTGCACTCACATCCCAACTGACCCCAACTGCAAACACCTTACAGAAAAGCACGAGGCTACTTCCTAATCTCAGGCCTTACTTGGCACATGGTGTTTGCTGACACTTCGGTGTCTCTCCACCGTGCCCCTACCATAGCACTTCCGCTGTGTTCATCTTTTTGTCCCCAACAACCGAGACAAAGCTACCATGAGGTAAACGTAATCTGAAGCATATGTAAGAGAAAGAGCTAGGGAAGCCCCGACTTGCAGAAGTTCATGGGAGAGAAGGGGAGAACTCTGGGGAGATACGGGGCAGGACTCCATGCTCTGAAAGCAGCCAGGGTACCAGGACTCCAGACACTAGGGAACCCGACAACTCATCCATCGACTCTGAGCTTTGCTGGTACCAGAGGAACACATTCCAAATATGGTGTCCACTCCCAAGAATAATCTGTGCCCAGAAGAGTCCCTTTTAGGGATGCAAAGTTATTTACTACCCTACCTAAGCTGGGTCTTGAAGGCAAGTCCTCTTGCTCCATTCCTGGCAGACCTAATCCCAACCCTAAGACAGAGTGTATATCTTAGGGAGGAGATGTCAGCATGAGAGCTGGGGCTACAAGCCAGGCTGCAGTTCTTTGAGAAACAGATGCCTGAAGAAAAAACTAAAATGATTAAAGAGTCAAATGCTTCAGAGGAAGTAACATGCTGTAGAAAAAAATGACACAGAGGCGGGCGCGGGGGCTCACGCCTGTAATCCCAGCACTTAGGGAGGCCAAGGCGGGTGGATTTCCTGAGGTCAGGAGTTCAGGACTAGCCTGGCCAACATGGTGAAACCTCGTCTCTACTAAAAAATACAAAAATTAGCCAGGCATGGTGGCAGGCGCCTGTAATCCCAGCTACACAGGAGGCTGAGACAGGAAAATCGGTTGAACCTGGGAGGCAGAGGTTGCAGTGAGCTGATATCATGCGACTGCACTCCAGCCTAGGTGATAAGAGTGAAACTCCGTCTCAAAAAAAAAGAAAGAAAGAAAGAAAAAATGACACAGAACATCATATCACAGTGACTTGCAGTTGAGTCCCAACACTATTGTTTTGCTGAATAAGGTTATAAAGTCAACCAAAACATGATTCTTACCCTACCCACAAGATCTCTGGTAGTGGAGGTATTTAAGCAAGTTAATAGAGCCCCAGCTTGCACTAATAGAATCAGACTCATTAAGGGCTGTTATCTTGAATCTCCTCTCCCTGAGAGAATACCAGAGAAAAATTCTGTTGAGGATATTCAAACACCAGGATTAAAGATGCTTCAGCAGTTCCTGTTGTAAGTGTAATGTCTTAAACTGCAACAGCCAGCACACGATGGTCCAGGTCTTCATGGCTTTGGTCAAGCAGCCCCCTGGGTCATGGGACACTGAGGCTGTTTGAATTGCAAGGGCTGCAAGTTCCTAGAGGAGGAGCCAGGCCCAGCCGCAGTGAAGAAGCCTGCCGCTCCCTCTACTGGCTGTTGGACACCACCACCTGTAGCATTTGCTCTTGCCAGAGTCACAGAACTAAGCAATTAATGAAACGGTTGAGGTTAAAAGGTTTAGAAAGCCTTTTAAAAAGATTTTTTAAAATCCTCAATTTTAGGATCACTAGTGGAAAAAAGGGAGTTAAAATTAATTGATTTTAGTTAATTAATCCTTTAATATTAAAATCTGTTTTAAATTTATATAGATTATGGACAATCATGAATCGGCTTGCAAGACAATGCCTATTTGTAGGTTTTTTTTGAACAGTATTTGTCCATATTTATAGTGGAAAAGATGTTTGGCTTAGGAAGCAATACATCAGCCCACACAAAGAGCTGAAAAGAGGCCTTAAAAATCAACTGTTAGCACTGCTGCTACAGGAGAAGATTGAGAAAGCCCACAAAAGCCTTTCTATCCCCACAGATTACAATGAAAAATTTCCAGACAGCTGGGTGCGGTGACTCAAGCCTGTAATCCCAGTACTTTGGGAGGCTGAGGCGGAGGATAATCTGAGGTCACGAGTTTGAGATCAGCTTGGTCAACATGGCAAAACCCCATCTCTACTAAAAATACAAAAATTAGCTGGGTGTGGTGGCATGTGCCTGTAATCCCAGCTACTCAGGAGGCTCAGGTGGGAGAACTGCTTGAACTCGGGAGGCACAGGTTGCAGTGAGCCAGGACTGTGCCACTGCACTGTAGTCTAGGCAACAGAGCGAGACCCCATCTCAAAAAAAAAAAAAAAAAAAATCTCCAGACAAAATATACAAAAATACACCTGAGAACTCTGAAAAGCAAACAAAAGCAGGTGGTCTGGGAGGGAAACAAAACCCAAGAACCATCTGGAGTGGAGGATGGATGTGAGTTTCTTGGGGCTTTTTCCCTCTTTTGTCTCAGGGCCTCAATCCTGGTGCAGCTGTGGTGGCCCCACAGGCAGCTCCAGCTCCAGGAGAAATCCAATCTTTCCGGCCAGGAGACTGAGAAAGGCTGGAGACCCAGGAGGAGCTCACAACTCAAGGTCCCCAGGCGGGGACCAGCAGCAGGAAGGGAGCCCTTGCTGTCCAGACTGCCTAAGAGTCCTTTTGCCTTTTCTACTTTCCCTGCTCTGTTCCAAGGATAGCTCTAGTAACAACTACACACAGGCAGGCAGGTAAACTTTTGAGAGAAGCTTGGAACCTGTGGATAGAGAACCAAAAAAGGGGTCTCATGTGGGCCAGAGAGTAGGATTGAGGGAGTCCCAGAGAGGACAGCTAGAGAAGGGGACTCCAAATTTGAATTTCAATCAACACAAATCCTAGGTTCATCTGAGCTACGTGCAGAACAGCACCAAAACAGCAAGCATGGAACAGACCCAGCACAGCAAAGACCCCCAGTGAGAAAGGAGCGAGTTACACCACCAGTCCAGCCCCATATGCAAAGACCCAGAGTGGGTTTCAAAACAAAATGACACTGAAATCCTTGCCCCAGAAGGCAAGACCGACTTGAAGTCTGAAGCTAATTGGGTTAACAGCCTCCTAAAACACAAACCAGAGGCTTTTAACAGGACCCAGAGTCCAAACAATATACAACTCAAATGCCCAGGATACAATCTACAATTACCCAGACGAGGAAAATACGACTCATTCTACAAGGAAAAGATAATCAACAGGTGCCAAGCCCATGATACCCCAGACATTAAAGTTATCAAGAATTTAGCTACTATAACAACTGGGGGTAAAAGTAGACATTCCTGAAATGAATGAAATAATACAAGTTCTCAGGAAAGAACAGAAGGTGTAAAAAATAACCAAACGGAAACTTTAGAACTGAAAAATACCTGAAATGAAAAATTCACTGGTAGGCTTGATAATGGAAGATGCCAGAATAATCTGTGCGTATACAGACAGATCAACAGAAATTATCCCATTAGACTTTGAGGCTGCAGTGAGCCTGACAGCACCACCGCACTTCAGCTTGGGCAACAGAGTGAAACTCTGTCTCTGTTAACAAGAGACAAGAGGCCGGGAGCGGTGGCTCACGCCTGTAATCCCAACACTTTGGGTGGCCGAGGCAGGCAGATCATGAGGTCAGCAAATCAAGACCATCCTGGCTAACACAGTGAAACCCCGTCTCTACTGAAAAAAAAAAAAAAAAATAGCTGGGCCTGGTGGTGGGCACCTAGAGTCCCAGGTACTTGGGAGGCTGAGGTAGTAGAATGGCGTGAACTCAGGAGGCAGAGCTTACAATGAGCCGAGATCATACCATGGCACTCCAGCCTAGGTGACAGCGAGACTCTGTCTCAAAAAAAAAAAAAAAAGAGAGAGACAGGAAAAAAAAAGAGAAATTAATTATTCCATTTGAACTACAAATTGTTTTAGAAAGAAACAGAGCCTCAGAGACCTGTACAGCAGCATCAGAGGTCTACCAGTTGTGTTTCTGTAGTTCAAGAAAAGAGGGAAGATAAAGAGATTGAGATTGGGAGAGAAAAAATATTTCAAGAATAGTTGAAAACTTCATAAATTTAGTAAGACACATAAATTTGCATAATCAACGAGCTCAGTAAAGATAAACTGTGGCAAAAAAACTGAAATATATCATTATCAAATTATTGAGGACCAAAGACTTGAATAATCTTTT